TGGGAACCTTCCTGTTTTCTGTGCAACAGTCAGTGCCCACGGTGGGGCTGGGTAGAGGGGCCTGGGGGAAATGAGGGAAGAGGGGGTGGGGCTAAGAGGCAGTGGGGAAGGAACGGGGTGGACTAGGGAAAGGGGAGGGTAATGTGGGAATGAGGGGATGGAGATGGAGAAAAAAAGGGGATAGGGGAATCGCAGTGGGAAGCGGGTACCCAGCATGTGGCATCCCCTCAGCAGCAGCTGGGGCTCCCCCATTAAGCAGGCCCATCGAACCGTCACCCTGACAAGCCCTACCTCCCTACACCTGGACCCCTCTTATGAGCCCCCCCCCCTCGAACCCTACCCCACTAATCCCCAACCAGCTGCACCTGGATCTCCACCCCATTAAGACCCCCCGTTACCCAAACCCCCCACTAAGCTGTACACACCTAGACCCTCCCTCCAAGCCCCATCTCCCCACACCCAGACCACCACCCTGCTGAGCCCCAGCCACCTTCACCTGGATCCCCTGCAACTCCCCATTGCCCCTGCACCCAGAACCCCCAAACAAGCCCCTGTGCATCCAGATCTCCCACTCAGCTGTCCGCATCCAGACTGGCCCACACAGCAATCTCTCACCCCGCACCTGGATCCCCCCACACTAAGCCCCGCCACACTTTTATTCTGCTGGGCTGAGCCTGCCCACCCACACCTGGTGCACCTGGCACAGAGGAGCAGGGCCCTGGGATGTTTCTGGGGCAGACCCAGCCCTTGCACTGTGTCAGGGTCAGGTGCAGCCTCACTGCTAAGTCCCTGTACTGGGTGAGGTGGGGGCTTCAGGGTGATCTCCCACCTCAATGCAGCCAGTGGCCTGTGCTTCCCACTGCCATGCTGGAGCCACATATAGTTAGTGACAAATAAAATTTTCATAATTTTAAAATATTTTGTGCATAATTTTAATTTTTTTGGTGCATAATTCCCTCAGGATTAAGTAATATATCCTTTATCTAAGGATCATAAAGCCCTTTCCAAACATTAAATGATTAATATTAGAGTTATTGTCAAAAGCAAAATGGAAACCAAATCACATCCTTCAGTCCCTACCTCTCTCCACAACTATGGGGCCTAATCCTGACAGGAGATGAGCACCCATGACTGCTGTTGACCTCAGACTTGAGTTACGGTTTCTTAACACCTCTCCGGATCAGGAGGATAGTGATTTACTGACTTTTTGCACATTAAGAGCTTTAAAGTCTGCTGCTTCTGCGTAGTGAGGGAGAGTTCGACAGGAAGCATCTTCCCTCTGTGAGAGCCTGAAAACAAGAGGTGGAGCTACACTTATTGGCCACATATTAATGCCGCCATTGCAGCCCAGGGGGAGGCAGGACTATGGTGGCTTTAAGCCACCTTTTCACCCTCCCAATTCTGGACTACTTCAGGGACTTGAGATGTTCCTGGCATAACATGGACAGCCCTGGGGACCTGTCTAATTTACACTCTCAGGCTGCCCTACACAGCAGTGCCCAGAATCTCTACAGTGCTGTGTGCTGCGTCTCATCCCCCAGCATACTCCCCATGCTGGAGGTTAGGAGGGTGTCTTTGTGAGGCAGTCTTGTGACTGTCTTCTATCTACAGTGTCTGCACTGGGGAAGTACCCCCTTACTGAACATAGGGCTTTTAGAGCCTTTTTATGCCACTTTGTCCCTTTCATGTGGTATAGAGAGGCTGGAGTGGGAGTGAGGCTATACTCCAAGATTTCCAAGTGTAAAATCTGCAGTAAATAAAGGAAACAGGATGCAAAAGAATCCTTGGTTGCACTTGGTCCAAGATTGATGGAGACCTCTTTTATCAAGGAATGAACAGAGATCTTTACTCAGAATTTATTTTCTAAACATAATAGAAATCAGTTGTTATTGGGATAGGGTGGTCATCAGAAGAGAGAGAGTTATATCCCTCTCTGTCACAATGGCAGCTAGGACACGGAATACTTTGTCCCAAATCATGGCCAAATTCTATTCCACTTACTAAAATTGAGCAGTGGTTATTAAAAATGGAACTACGTATGGAGTAAGGTACTACTTATGTGCAAGCATGGGAGAATTTAGGCCTACAGTTTCATTCGCTGCCTATGATGTTGCTGTATTAACAATTTATAGCACCATTATTATTTCTCAATATCCAGAAGCCATGGATCAAAGTTTTATCCTTTAAAAAAGCTCTTCATTTAACTTTTGACTTCTTGGATCTTTTTATTCTATTAAATTTGTTTCACATTCCCTCTTTACCACCACCACATACCAATGAGATATATGCTATAGTGATGAGGACCTAGAGCAGAATCTAGAGAGATGAAATTGTTTTTCAGTTTGGGAGGAAAATAGATGTCAGGTAGCCATCTGTGCCTACCTGGTAATCCAATCCTAAATTCTTATGGTCAGAATGTGACTTTTAAACCACAGCCCACAGGGGCCCCAGAAGGAATTCTGGGTGATTCGGAATTCTTACACAGCCAGAATACTTCCCTGGGCTTTCAGGAACAGCAGATCCACCACTAGATCCACTTGCTGCAGTAAATGCTCCAGCTCAGGGAAGATAGGGCTGGACCTTTTGTTAGCTAGGACTCATTACTAGTGCCTACATACCCCAGCAGTTGTTTCTCAAGCACTCATATGGCCCTCATGACCAAGAGCACCTCACAATCTTTCATGTGGTTAGTCTCAAGACACCTGTGTTGGCACAGGCATTGGCTTCCTCCAAGCCCACTCAAACCCCCTCTCTGCCCCAGGCCCCGTCCCCACCCGACCCCTTCCCCCAAGTCCTCACCCCGCCTCTTCCTCCCTCCCCCCAGCGCGCCCCATCCCCGCTCCTCCCCCTTCCTCCCAGTGCCTCCTGCACCTTGCAAAACAGCTGATCACGGCGGGTAGAAAGCACTGGGAGGGAGGGGGAGGAGTTGAGCCTCGGGGGCTGCCAGCGGACAGGAGGTGCTAGGGGGAGCTGGCTGACGGTGGGTGCTCCAGCTGTGGAGCACCCATGGAATTGGTGCCTATGTGTGTGTGGTAGGGAAGTAGTAAGAGCCCTATTTTACAGATGAGGAACTGAGCCACAGAGAGACAAATTTTGCCACTGACTTCAATGGGACCATTATTCTCCTTAAGTGTCTTGCCCAAGGCCCCACAGGAAATCCGTGGTGGAGCAGGGAAACTAATGGAATACCATGTTAGCACCTTACCCACTGGATCTTGGTTTCTCTCGTGGATTGTTTTTGAGGCATAGAGGCTATAATGGGAGGGTGAGGGAGTTAAAGCCACCTCTCTCCTTAAGCACCTCTGTGGGGCCAGCTACAATCAAGCATTTAAAACAAATTTACATAAATTCCAGGGCTACTTTCTGGCACAAAAGCAATGAGTCCTCATAAGTAATGGATAGAAATAATAAATGACAATGGTGTTCTTTTATCTGACCTCATGCATACAATAATTTTAAACCTCTTATAATAATCCCCCCCCATTAAAAGCAAAATGACCATCTTTACATATAACAACAAAGCAAAGCAAACATAATTCATCTAAAAGGTTATAAGATGGAATTTCAATTGATATTAAGACAGACTTTTAAAAAAAATTGTAGTTTTCCTGCCTTTGAATCACAAAAAGGCAGAATGTGTTTTCTTTCACCACAAGTGATTTGAACCTTGCCAAGCAATTAGCTAGGTCAGATAAAAATGGATGAGAATCAAGTCTCTTCGAAATCAGATGCTAATTTAATACTGAGAAAATAAGATGTGATTATAATGTAGTGAGTTTTCTTTAATTCTGTTTGCACCTTATTAAGGGCCAGCTCCTACAGCCCTTACTTTAACTCCAATGACAGGTCTGTCTGAATAATGACTGCAGGTTATGGTCCTTTATGCATAGAAAATAAAGATATACAAGCAGCTGGAGTATAGTAAAATGCAGGATGTTTTTTATCAAGCAAAGTGTACCTTAAAACTCCATTTGAAAATCTTAGGGCTTTTTTGCTTTAGTTCTTGATTTACTGCAATGTAACATATCTATACACCATTAACATTTTATCTAGAGTATGTTGTTTTTTTGCCATGGGTGATTAGTTACATTTCTGATGTTATGAAGAAGGGGAAAAGAAATCTGCCCCAAAGAGGATCTGTAATTCCTTTTTGGTTCTGAAAGCGGCGTAGTTACCATTAACTTCTAGGAGCATAGATTGACTTACTCTTCAGAACTCTCCTTGTGAAATGTTTCCTGGGGGCACTTGGTTCATGTTTGTACTGGTCTGACACAAATCACATTTTAAAGACTCATCAAGAATCCAATCTCTCTGTGGAGAGCTGAGCAGCTGCGGCAGGCTCAGTAATGCTATTCAGTTTTAGCGTCTCACCAGCAGAACAAGCGTTCAGCACCAAAGTATATATAGCGTGTATACACATACATATCTATCCATCTACCAGGGGATCTATACTATCTGCTGCAGTGAAACAATTTAATTTAAAATACGGTATCACAAAAATTTGTATTCCTAAGTGATACCTTCATGTTAATTAATGCTACCACTCATCTGTCCTGTACACAACTTATTCACACATTATTGAGCACAGAGGAAAAAATTACGAAATAGATTTGACAGTGAATATAGTTTAAAAGTAGTATACAAAGAACACTGCACAATTTGCAGTTTCTTTCAACTGTGTTGATCTATTTGTGTGCGCGCACAGGCGCATAATATACACAACTATTTAATGAAATTATTAAGTCTTTATTGCTAAGGCTGTGTGTGTATACAGTTTAACAGTAAGGGCTTAATGGTTTAATAAATAATTTCTAAAGTATATATGATACAGTTTCACTGTACAGATTCTACTTCCCCTTTAGGACCTTTCGTAACATGCATTCAGTGTAAAAGTTTAGACAAAAAACCCTCTGTATTTAATTCCACACTGACAAAACAAACAAACAATTTCCCCTCCTCATAAACAGAGCTATAGATCACAGGGATAGAATCAGAATTACCTTGCCTGAGGTGTATTCCTTTTCTCCTCACAGTATGAATGCAGTATTTTTTCCAAGTTTTTCTGCACCACAAACTCCAGTCAACGTTATTCTAAAGACTCAGAAACAAGCAGGAAAAGGAGGCCTGGGCACCTTTTCTTTTTCTGAGTGGAGCTAATCAAACATTCCCATCAAGCTCCCAGCACTTCGAAAGGCACATTACACTCACTCACTCTCACTCACTCTGTGTCTTACCCCCCCAACACACATGCAGAGCTTCTTACACTGATTTAGCTGCTGAATTAGGCAGTCCTCTTTTAAATTTCTGCTCCCTCCCACTTTTTTTTTTGGGGGGGGGGGGTAGGGATTTCTATTTTCTCAAGATGAAATTAAAATGTAGCCACCAGTCTGTCAGACCTGTCAAGTTTTGCTCTTTTGGAAAAATTTACCGATGATTTGGTTCCATTTTCTTTAGTTTCAGCATTTCAGCAACACTAAAGTTGAGACTTGTGAGTTTGTATGGTAGGAAAAGGACTACAGCTAGCAGACTGAAATACATTGAGTAGTTCTGAGGATTACAAATACCAGACTGGTTAATTGTGAGCTAAATTTTAAAAAGAGAACTTTCCTTTTAAGAGCCAGGTTCTGATCCTTTTACTCACCTGCAGTAGCATCTTACTGCACAAATAGCATGGAGTTGGATGCTACTTTTTGTGAGTAAGGGTATTAGAATTTGGCCCATAAAAGCATTTCGGGTAGAAATGAAAAACAATGCTGCTTTCCTTCTTGACTGTGGTTTTTGAGGCATTTAGTAAAATGGTCTTAAATAGTTCCCACGTCTCATTCATTCATATGTTTCTGTTCAAATTCTTTCTCCCAACTGATTTGGCTCCTGATGGTTTTCATCTTTGTGAAAATGGCCCTTTTAAAGCACCAAGTTTATAGAGTACTGATTTGGATTTTATTCAGTTTGCACATAAAAAATGTAATCAAGTCATTTCCAAAACAAAATATGACAAGACCAAATGAGAAACATAAAATGACCCAAAGGAAGTTGAGTGAGTATTCCTAGAAAAACCCAGTTCCCTCCAAATATGAGGTTAGAAATGATGAGCATAATTTACAGTGCCCTCTGAGTATTATTAAGTATATGAAGAGTGCCCCAGATCTTTTGCTTTGGCCAAGGATGAGTGCTTAATAAGTAGAGGAAACAGAATTCAATAGAAACACTGAAACCATGTGTACTTCCTGATTGCCCTTGGGCTAAGGATGGTGCAGATTTATTTGAATTCAAAAGCGAAAGATTACCTTTGATTAGTAGATCACTATTCTAATTTTTGTTGAAATTGTACTGTTGGGCAACATATCAATATAATAACATTGTTTATTCACCAAAGGATTCCAAATGAGTTACTAACAAATAAAGGCCCAGAATTCATAAGTGGCTAATTTCAGCAATTTTTGCTGTGATATCTCCTTTCAGGCACACCACATCAAGCCCTTAAGATGAAAATTCAAATAGTTTAACCGAAAAATCAATTCAAATAGTAAAAAGAAAAGCTGTTAGACTATCACAACACACCTCATAATGCTTTATGAGGCTTATCTGTTCCGATACTCATGGGCAAAAGGACCTTAGGGCCAGATTTTTAAAGATGCAAATAGGCAACTAGGTACTTTTGAAAATCTTACCATGTGCCTAACTCCATTGATTTCCCTTCACCCCAAGAACGGAAATTGAAAAAGCACAACATCCAGCATAGGTTCCATGTGGTAGATGCACCTCTATGGCCACTGTGGAAGAGAGACAAGCCACCCGTGAAAAGATTCTGAGTCCAAAATGGCTACTCCCTCACACATGAAATTAGAACCCATGACCCCTGCATCCCCCCCAATTGCTCTAACCCCCTGAGCTATGGAGGGCAGCTGTTATTTTGGGAACAAGAAGTGGTCATGTGACCAGGAAGCCATCAGTTTTGGCGATGATAGTTATTGATAGATGGCCAATCGGAGGCAGAATAACCCTCTCTTCTGTTATATGTTCAGATCATCTACACTGACTCCCATCTGAGATGTCTCCAGTTGTATAGTCCATTAATTGGTGTTATTTTTTTGTGGTGGTTGCTTTTGGTTCGCTGTTATTTTACATGCATATGAGTGTAAAGAAAAAAGGTGGTGGAATATGTAATGGTAGCTCCTGAATACTGTCCTCCATCATGATACAAGATTATTTTCTTTCATCTGGCATTTGAAAAGCAACAGGTTGGGATTATAATTTAATCTTAAAATTTGAAAGCTATTCTAATTCTTCTGGGTTAGCTAGGTGGATCCCCCTTGTACCGCCACTGTAAGTGTGAATTGGGCAGTTGGCCATGATATGTCACATGGTTTGTACCTCACTACAATCACAATTTGGTGATTCTTTGATTTTTTCATTGTGCAGGAAATATCCACACCTTCAGTGCGTTGTCTGAACGCGGTTAAATGCGCTGGACTGCCTATGGGGAAGGCAAAATCCTTGGATTTCTTTTGTTGGATCTTCAATCAGGTCTTTGTTAGGGACATCACAAGTGGCCCACGATTCAAGACAGTGCATGCTGACGTTCTTTCCATTGGCCTGTAGCACTGATGTGTGGATCCAGAAGTGCTTCCTGGATTTGAATCAGGAGAGTGGCAGTGAATTGACATCTTGGTAGCTCCGGAGTGGCCAGGATCTTATTGTACTCCTAGATCACAGCAGTGTCTCGCCTGATGTTGGCTGGCAGGATGCCTGCCAAAACTGGAAGCCATGGTATTGGCATTGATTTGAGAGAGCCTTAATAATCTTGAATGCAGCATTGATTTCAGTGTAAGTGAGATTGGGATGGGAGGAGCTATTGCACCAAACTGGTGTGCAACACTCTGCTGTTCACAAAAAACAGGGCTTGTACTGATGTTCAAAATGTGTGTGCATCACATCTCCATGATTTGCCAAGGAGTGTCTGAATTATGTTAACCCTTGTTTTTGTCGTCTTTTTGGTGTTGTCAAGATTGGCGATAGCTCAGTGTCCGATCGAGGATAACTCCAAGGGACCGTGGATTGTGGTCATGCAATAAAGGCAGACCACAAAAGTTCCCTTTCAGTGGCCCTTTGGCTTCGTGGTTGTTTAAGTGCAAAGCAGAGATGAGTGTTTTCAAGGTGTTGGGTTTCAATTGCCAAGCTTTGAAATGTGTCTCAAGTGTCTGGAGGCCACTGTTCATCACCTTTTCTGTGGCCTTCAGTGAGGACGCTCGCGTTGCTAGTGCAGTATCAGCGGTGTAGGTGGTTTTATGGGATGATGTGCCCGGAATGTCGCTGGTATAGAGATTAAACATCACAGGCACTAAAACAGACAGGATTGCTAACCTTTCGTGTTCCTGATCCACGTCAGGTGACTAATCGCCAGGAAGTAAAGCCCAGTCTCTTACCATTATTCCTGTGTCATAACTGTATTGTTAGTGGGACTAGTGCACGTTACGTGTCATTCCCTCCCTCCACCCCCACACACACACTTGGACATCACAGAGAATAATGAATGTTATATGCCACAACAGCAGCTGAAGTTCATTGACTCCTCTTAAGTAAAATGTTTCAGAGAAAATAATTGTTCATGCAAATTAATGTGTTTTCACTGTAATGTGATAGAGACAAAGCAGTGCAGCTTTTGTAAGGGTAGCTCATACCTCTCTAACCTATATGAAGTCTTTGAAAGGTTTAACAGAGTAGCTGATAAAGCAAGAGCCGTGAATATAAATTATTTAGCTTTCAGAATAAGTTGGATGAAGTTCTTTACAAGGAACTTTTAAGAAAACATAGTAACCAGATTGAGGTAAAATCCAACCATGGATTAAACAATGTTTTGAGAGGTAAGAAAACGAAGAATAGGAATAAAAGGCCAGTTATCGGAATAGAAAGAGTGTACTATTCAGGTCCTAGGAATTAGTGTAAGGTCTGGTACTGTTTACTATATTTATTAGCAGGCCTGAAAGAGTTGGTGATCATTAACAATGGAGAATTGTATAGCAACAGGGTAGTGGCTGAATGCCTTAACGCCTCACTTTTAGATCATGTGTCATCTTGCCTTTTTTTTTTTTTTTTTTTTTTAAAAAGCACAGGATTTTTTAAAGAAAATTTAATATTTTTCGTTTGGATACAAGTTGGATGTAACTAAAAATGAACATTCCACCTTAACTCTTTTTCAGCAAAGTTATTGTTTGTGAATGTGAATTGATACAATAGTGGCCTATTCCACATATTACAGTCAATATAAAACACTGTGATATCTGTGCACATGAAATACACGTCTGTTCCACTGGAGGCCCAGCACGTTCCCACCACACTCAGATGGGGGCACAGATGTATTACAGTTCTGGTTCTCATTCTCTAAACACGAAACTATCAAAGAAAACAATTTGGAAGAAAAATTAGTTATTCAGCATTTGAAACTTCCACCTCAAGTCGTGACACTTTAATTTATTGTTGTGGTGTGGCAAAATGTCCAGACTTCTTAACTCTCATTTACAGTGGGTGGTGCCCTCTTGTGGCAAAATTTGAAAGGCTGGCTAGAGTCACTCTAATACTCAAATGAAATTATAAACATTTGACTTTTGGGAAGCTCCACTGAAGGACAAGGTCAGTCTTCTCTTAATTTGAAATAAAGAAAAAAATAATTGTCCTATTTTAATTGTGCTCCGTATCTCAGGGTTTACACTGTGGGAAAAACACTATCTCTTGACCATGGTATTATACTTCGCATTTCTTTTAGTACTTTTCATTCCGAAATCTCAAACTGCTCTACAAAGATCAACAAGTAACAACTATCCCTATTTTACAGAAAACTGAGGCCCAGAGAGGTTTATCATGTTGTTATTGCTTAAGATTAAATAGCTAGTTAGTGTTTAAGTTAGGAGTAGAACCCAGCTCCTTTGACCCCAGCTCTGTGCCCAATCCATTGGGCCAGGTGAATTGGTAGAGATGGGTCACACTTCTGAAGAAATTAAATAAATTGTTTAACAGTTGACAAATAGAAAATTTTAAACCTAGGAGACAAAGTATACTATGTCCAAGGTTTCATAGATTCTAAAACCAGAAGGGACCATTATGCTAATCTAATCTGACTTCCTGTATAGCACAGTCTACAGAAATTCCCCAAAATAATTCCTAGAGCATATATCTTTTAGAAAAACATCCAATATTGATTTAGAAATTGTCAAGGATGAAGAATCCAC